AAGCTATCAAAACAATTCCAGGATAAAGTTGTGGAGAAGCATCAAGAGGTTATTTTAAAAAATAGCCCAAACCATGAACCTACAGCACCATGACATCCATTTACAAAATGAAAAGAATACGGCTTAACTGCTACTCTGCCTAGAGAAGGCCATCTACCAAAATTCAGTGACTAGAAAAGCAGGGCATTAGAGAAGAACCATGAGGACAATGGAAACTCTGAAGAAACTGAAGGGATCTGCAGCTGAGTTGGAAGAAACAAGCCACAGACAACTGTCATCTGGATGCTCCACAAAGCTGAGCTTTATAAAAGAATAGTGAGAAGAAAGCTATTACTGAAACAAATTCATATAAAAGCCCATTTGGGGTTTGCAAACAGCCATGTAAGAGACACAGCAAACATGTGGGAAAAGGTTCTATGAGCTGGTGAGACCAAAACTGAACTTTTTGGCCTGGCTACAGAATGCTCTATGTGGCACAAAGCCAACAGTGCTCAGTAGCCAGGAACATCCCCACAGTGAAGCATGGTGGTGGCACCATCATACGGTGGGGATGCTTTTCCTCAGTAGGGACTTGAACACTGGTCAGGATTGGATGGGGTCATGTTTTAGCCTGAAAAGGAGCTGGGATTGGGGTGGAGGTTTACTCTTCCCAGCAGGGAAATGACCCTGAACACAAAGTTGAAGTAAAAACAAGAACCTTAGAGTGTCTTGAGCCCAGACTGCAATCCGACTGACAATCTGTGGCAAGATTCAAACGTTTCTGTTGACTAACTATCCCCCTCCAACTTGACAGTTGGAACCATTTGCCAGGAAGAGTGGGCAGACACTGCAAGATCCGGATGAGCAGAGCTGCCAGTGATTTATTTGAGCCAACGCACAGCTGTAATTGCTGCCAAAGGTGCTTCTCAGGTGGTGGCGGTGAATACTTATGCAACCAACAAGTGCCAGTTTGTTTTTGTTAACTAGAACAAAAATATTTTACACCTTTACAGTGTTGAATATCTTCTGCACGTCTACTGGTAAGAATGCCAATTAAATCCATTTCAGTTCCAGGTTGTAACACAACAAAATGTGGAAAAGTCAGAGGGGGTGAAGACATCTGTAAGACTCAGTAAGACTTAGTCTTACATCTGTAAGACTCATCTGTAAGACTCAAAACAACCTCCATTGCAATACCAATAGTGCTTGCAGGTGCAGCTGGTCTTCCAGGGAATTTCATATTGCAATGAAATTTCTATGAGATACCAGTGCTGAAGTTATTGAAGGACCTAGTCAGAGTACTTATTCCATCAAAGTGCACCTGGCAAAATGCCAGGGTTTAGCTGGCACTAGGAAAACACAGCTTTTCCAGTCCAACAGGAGATGCTCCCCTGCCGCAATAGAGCCAGTAAGGTTCCCATGGGCAAGTTTTCCACTAGCAGCATGCAAATCCACACAACTTCCTGCACCGGATACCACATTGGCATAGGGAGTCAAGGGAATGAAGAGGACGCAATTAAGGAACCATGGCCTAAGTGACCTCTTACTCTCCCTTCACAATACAAATAGTTTCAGGATAAGCAGGCATAGCATCATCATCATCTTCTTCTTCATCGTTCTTCTGGCAGAACTGATTTTCCTAGTGAGCTCTCTCTAGCTTTAAGGGCCTTCTTAACTTACACTAGCTCCATACATGATCTTAGAATAACAAACAACTGGCAGCTACAAATGATTTTAAAATCCTTCAGATTCCCCTTCCAGCCCCAGATCAAGCCAAGCACTGTCATTAGACATGCTTGGTTTGTTTGCTTATGGGGCAGTCCATATTAAAAGCTATAAATAAACAAACAAAAAATAAATAAATGTTACATCTAGAGACAAGTAGAACATCCACACCAAGGTGTTAAGGAAAGTAATACTGATTCAGAATTCTAAAGTGAAACATGAGATCTTTGTGCCTATTCCACAGACTTACTGTGAACAGTTTATTACATTGTCCACTATCTTACAGTAGAAGCATCTGCAGATCCCACCTACATGATAAATCTTACAGAGCCCAGTGTTGGATGAGGGATTTTGATTGCACACAGTGTTGAATGTTTGCACAAAGGGCACAATCCAAAGAATAATCCATGTGTCGGAACCTGATACTGTCTGTGGATTCTCCTCTCCGATGTTGGCTGTGAAACTATTATCAACATCAAAGCTAAAATTATATCTGAGATCTATCTGAATATATTAAAAATCACAAAAAATGCAGTTCTGACAGAAGACACAATTGTAAAGCATAATACTCTGCTATGGTTTACCAGTCCCTGCCCCATAAAGACTGTCCAATGGCTGCTTCCTTTTGGGCAGGAGGAAACAAAGATAAACTTTGTTACAGAAAGCTCTTTAGTATTTATAGACATGCATCTTCTTAACTATCTTCCCTTTCTTGTAACATAACAAAAAGGATTCTCTTCCTTTTTTGACAGTCAAAGGACTAATATCACAACACTGGAAGGACAACTGGCCATCTTCATTAACACAATGGGTACGGACTGAATGAAGTGTCCAATTTTTGAATGGGCGACTTTTAGATACATTTTATAAATTAACATATATATGGATATCTGAACAGCCTTTGTTGACATCTATCCTTAATTATCCCTAAAATAGTATATTTTGCTATAGAAAATAAACAGGAGTAGATAGTGTATCAAATAGATTCACTCAAGTTTCATGTAAGTAAACTGTAATACTTTATTTCTTTGATTGTTTCAATGTTTGGTTTTGCTTTTGATTTGGGACAGATGATTAAAAACAGTGAGCAAAAGGAGGCAGAATCAGATGAAAGAAAGTTGGAGGAAAAAACATGCTAATCTTTGGTTGATTGTTCTTTTCTTGTACCTCTTATAATGCCTGAATACATGTGCATATAAACAATAAAAGTCTCTTGCCCAATTCCAGCCAGGTGAGAGGCCTTCAATACCCAAAAGGATCACACAAAAGTTCAAATGATTCTGAAATCACTCATAAAATGCACCCAGGTACATCTTTTAAATGGATGGTTCTTGGCTCCACAGTATTACACCTCTGAGAGTGATCATATAGTATAATGCATTAACTCTGAGCACTGGCTATGCTGATTGAGGCTGATGGAAACTGCAGTCCCAGGCATCTAGAGGGCACTGAGTTGGAGAAGTCTGGTACACTGCCTGACAGTAATAGGTGTGAAGCCCCTCATTTAATTCTTGCTTCAGCTGCAGGTAGTCTGTTAAACATTCCTAACCTGAACAAGCCATCACATTCAACTACATTAAAGCCCTCCAATGTATTTAGAGAGTGAGAGAACATGCCCCCTTCCCTCACGCCCTTCTTTTTAGTAGGCCAAGCAGGCCCACTGGGGTCATCATCCTCAAAAATGTTCATCTTACAGACTTCTCCTTCCTCACATCCCAACACTTGTAAAAACGTAGCAGGCCTTGTCAAGAAATAGGTCTAAATTATGTGACAAACGCAGATCTTTTTAGCCTATTAAATATGGTCTCTTTCAAAAAGAAGTACCGCCTTTAACAACACCAATACATTTCGAATTGGGTTTTTGTCTCCAGATTAGGAACTCCTGGCATCACTCATTGTCACATCAGGCTTCAGAAGAGGCCGAATATGGCGTTTTCCCCACAGCTATCATCCACCAGCGCCTGTTGCTACATTTACCTGTGTCGACCTCAAGCAGAGTAACACAGCCTCAGACACAGTTTTCCCAGATCCTCTAGGATCAACTGTCCTGCTTGGAGAAGGGCAATTGGATAACAACAGGCACAGTTTCATTCTATAAAGTAGACAGTCCAAAGCAGTGAGACTTCTAGTCATAGCCTAACTTGGGGTGGAATCAGGAAAAAGACAAATATAAATTTCCCTGTGTTAATATATCTGGCAAAAAGACTGGCATGCCTGGTGATGAACGGACTTCTTTTCACCACAAGATGGGGATAAAGCAGATTAGATTTAAGTGATGCCTTTAGCTTCTCAATACAAATCCTTTGGTACTCCAAATCCATGCCAACACCAGCACTCTGGTCTGAGACATATTTTCCATGTTTCATTAACACTTCCCTGACATTGATGAGAAGACACTTTCTTTTTCGAGGAAAAGATGGGAGACATCTCCTGCCCACCCCCTTTCCCATTTAGCTGAAACACAAGAATCTAGCAGACTGCATGCCTAATAGGGCTCCTGGGATTAAAACAGAAACCCAAGACACCTTCAGTCTTTCACAGGCTTTTGTGCACAGACCAACCATCATATAAAAGCTGAGGCCGTAACCTCTTTAAAAAAGACTTTGCAGAACACAGGATGCACAAGGCATACCTTTGGCCAATTCTGTACGTAAAAATACAAATAGCCATATTTCCCACCCACAGCCCCCTCAAGTTTCCATACAAGTAGCACACCATTCATTCAATCTTCCCTGAGCTTATATAGTCAAGTTATTGTGCTTTCTTCAAGCAGCCTCCACATCCACATGTTCACTGAGCAACATCCTTGATAGCTTTGCAGCAATGACATCAGAGCCCCAAACTGGGAAAATATTAAGGATTTCCAAACATGGAGACAATATCCCCATCCTGCCCTTCGAATTGGATTCTCTTAAAACATAGACTTTACAAGAAGTGTTCTGTTCTTCCTCACTAGAAAAGAGAAGCCAAGCAACAGAGTCATGGCCCAATATCAAGCAGAAAAGAAGTTAGGACACTGATAAACCTAGAAAACGTGAAAATTGGAATCCCATTGTGAGCGAATATATTTCAGGGGCAGAACAGGATGATATAGAGGAACAGGAGTTAAGATAGGGCACCTCTGCATGTAACAAGCAAGTGGCAATATCCCTCTTGCCACAACACATCCTCTTTCAAGGCAATGGTATGAAGATCTAACTTGCATATCCCTACCATGGGGAGATAAACGTGCTCCTGGTCCCAGGCACTTCCTGCAGGGAAGAAGCATGTCCCCCCAAGCTCACTTTGCACAGTACCTGCAACATGAGAAGTGGCTGCATGAGTAATTCACACATCCCCTGTTGTCTTTTCGTTATGAAGTGCTTTGTGAAGTATTTCCGAGGCAGAGCAGAATGCTGGCTGAGAAAAGAGCGTGTAAGGCAGGCTATGCAACACTAGGCACATGTTTTATCACAGAGACCAAAAACATGACCAGAAGAGTCTATCCCACATAGGAAAAAAGAGCAGAGGAGTCCCCCCAAATAGACATAACTGCTCTATAAAGGCAGGCAACACAACAAAACACTAGTGATAAAGAACACACGCTTTATCTTAAAACGCACTGGGCACAATGGGTTGAGTCCTTCACTTGAACATCAGCCACAGTGAATTCAGTGAGAAAAGTTAGTTTCACTTAGTTTCCATTAAAATCAATGAGACTTTAGTCATGACTAACTTAGTTTGAATCCAGTTCAATGCAGTTACTGAAATTCTTTACTAGACCATATGAGAGCTGGTGTGGTGGTTAGAGCATTGGACTCGAGATCCAGGATATCTGGGTTCTAACCCCACTTCACTACTGAGCTCATCTGGTGACTTTGGGCCAGTCACTTACTCTCAGCCTGACTGACTGAACTGGGTTGTTGTTGGGAGGATAAAAATGGAGTGAGGAGAATTATGGGAGCTGCTTTGGTTTCCTTGCAAGAGGAAAAAAAGGCAATGCAATAATTACAGTAAGTTCCAAATAGACTTTGAAAGAGAAGTGCCAAAATCTGAGTTTCAGAATTGGCCTTACTTAAAAAAATAAAAAATAACAATTATTTAATTCCCAAAGCACCTAAAATCACGAAAGGATGTGCCAAAACTGAAAATAAATCAGCCCTGCCTACAGGTTTGCAATTTAAAAAGTAATCCCATGAACAGCAGCCATTCAGCAAGATGTATATGAAGGATCTGGACTTCTCCCAGTACTCCAGACAATAGCACTCATATTCATAATCCCATGCACAGTGCTTATATGGCCAGGAGCAGGGCGGGAAGTTTGCACACTTTGAGAACATTACAGCTTTCTCTGCCCAATGCTCCCCTAAGAAAAGATGTACTTCACTGCTTTTCTGCACTCAAGAAATCTCCAAATGCTTCTCCAACTGTAGCTGTATTTGCCAGCTGTGCATGAATTTGGGAAATTCCCTGAAAATGAAAAAAACATATATACACAAAATAAATGAATAAATGATCAGACTTGTTGAAATCCAGGAATAAATACAGAATTGAGCTCTTGTATTTCTCTACTAGGAATTTTACATTTAAATGTATGTATTCTGTTTTACTAAAAATTACCTAGCTTTTTAGATTTAAGGATTCACTCTTAAAGTATAGACTTTTTTTTTGCTATCCATAGGTTTAAGTCTAGAACTCTACGTATGATAGGAAGCACAATATGACTGACAACTGATACAGTGTGAAGAATTATTGGAAAGGAAGAATGGGAATGAATGGAAAGCAGTCAAAGCTATTTAAAATAATTTCAGTTTTTAAAAGTTGAGGAGAGACTATTGCTTGGTAAAAAATAGAAGAAACCATGTGTCAAACAGTTTTGGGGTGGGGGGGGAGGAAAAACCCTGTGTTTTACATAGACACTACACAATTCAGAAAACCTCAGAACAGTTTTAGAGTAACGCTATACAATATACTAATTGCATAGAGCATAGGTTATTTTTTTTCCATTAACTTGCATGTAAACACACATGGCCCTGATTTAGTTCAGGGCCAACCTATTTTGGGAATGAAGGGATAAGCTTCCCCTCCACTTTTTTACCCCTATCTCCACTCTCAGGAGGTTAACAATAGTGTAGATGAGGCTTTTTTCTCTTCTTCTCTTGTACCCAAGTGGTGCAGAGGGAGCCTTGGATGGGTTAAGCCAATGGTAAGCAGAACTAACATGGCCCCAGATTAAAATTGGGGAGCAGGAGAATGCTCTGGCAGAACCTCCTTTCACGCAAAGGCAAAATAATGTAATCAGGCAAAGCATTCATGGACATGTTGACTGCAACAGGAAGGGGGATTAGATGCCTCCCCACATGTAGAGACACTACCTTGAACTCACATTTCTTTCTATTCCCACAGAACCCCAATTCTGAGGCAAAGAGGCTAGTGAGTACACCAAGATCCTGAGTGCAGACAGTGTGGATGGGGAAGCATCACAACACACAAAAGCATTTTGTTTGAACCAAGATGTAGCTGCACCAGCCCACAAAGACACACTCAAGTTAAGAGGCAAGTGACCCCTGGATGAAAATTCTGGGTGCAAACAAGAGGGGAGTGGGCAGGTTGCATTCCAGAGCAGACCATGGCACTTTTTCATAGCCACATTTCTCTGCTCCTCCAGGAACCAGGAAGACCAGAAGCAGATGTAAGAGGGCCAAGAAAGCTGGGGACTGGGGAGGCAGAAGAAACGAGCATACAAAAAAGCAGCAGGAGCTGAGGTTGGAATAGGGAGAGATACCAAAACGAAAGTGGTCAGCAGATCAAAAGAAAGGGGAGCACAAGAGAAAAATTCAATAAATAAATCCCACATTGGAGCCATAACAGCAACCTACCTGAAACACTGCTTGCTTCCCTCTGATTAATAAGAGTACCATCATCTTGCTTGCCATTACTCCAGAAGACCCCTCTCTTTCTCCTCCCTTGGTCACAACTCCTAAAAACAACAAGACCTTCACAGACCCTGTGCATAAATACACACCCACTCTCACTCACACTTTCTTTTCCCCCGAGTAAAATAAGGTTTTGTCCACTGCTGTTCAGTGCATGAGTTTTCTGCCACATTCTGGACCAACCTCAAGGAGAGCCAGCAAAGCCCTCTAGAGGCCGGTTTGGGTGCACTGCATAGGCCCTGAGAGAAATGTTCTTAAAAGCAAGCAAACCCACTGGCTGGGAGTGCTCAGTACAAACACTGAGGAACAAAGAGCTCTGTGCCCGTTCTCCTTTGCCAATCAGAATAAAAATGGGGGACCTGGGAAAAGCATTGTTCCCAGACACACTGCCTTCCTCAAGATACAGGAAAGAATTACTCTCAAGAGATAACTTTGCACAGGCACACTGGGGATGAGAGGCCACCAAAGTCAAGCCAGGTTGCAGAAGGGAGGTCCAACAACCAACAGAGTGACTGGTTTCAAGTTGAAATGCTGACACTTTGTGGACAGGGATGCCTCGACAACAGAATAATGGAGTGGAGGGCAGCGCCCCAATAAGAAATTGTCTCTGCCCTGGGGGTAGAAGTTTGAGAATCCCTGCTACAGCAGGATGTGTGCTGGGATTCTGAGCAGTGCAATCATGATCGTCGCTGTAAGTGCAGTTACAGGCAAGTACTAAGTGATTTACATTACTAATATACATTAAAAAGTTAGATGCTTGAATCTCATAGAATTTTTGTAGCTAAGAGAGTGCAATACTTTAGAAAATTAGAAAGATGTGTAACCCTGCTACTGCAACAATTGAAAATAATGGCTGCTTCATGAGGTCTGTTCACTTCACTTGCTAGGGGACCACTCAAATGGCTAGTATTTTTGAACATATGGTTATGTATTACTTAAATGGATAACTCCTTAGTCAAATAGAGAAACAGTTTCCCAGCACTGAAATACTTTCCATGAGAGATACATTAGATACAACTGAAGAAAAATAACCTCTTTCCAGCGTGAAAGTAACCTTAGGGCAATGTTAATAATGTATACTCCATATAAATATTTACACATATGTACAGGAAATACAGTTACAACCATCTTGATGAAATGTATTTACACACACACACACACACACAAGCGAACCGCATTAGGATAGACTGCAGAATGAAAGGAGAATCAAGGAGGCTTAGATTTCTTTGGTGTAAAGCATATGTGGTTGCTAAAAATGAGTTACTGCGGAAAGAAACCCTTCATTTTCATATTACTGTTGCAAGCCTTCATTAACAACATGTTGTCATATGCAGCTATCATAGCAACATGTCACTGCTATATTATTTTTAGAGCACCCAAGTGGCATATGCCACAGTATTTGCAGATATTTCTCTTCTCACTTAGATGTGCAATATTAATTGCCCTGAAACAAAACCAAAGTAAAACCCTCAAACAAGCAACAACAGACTATCTAATGTAAACAAATAACCAAGTGCTACATTGCTTTAGCGGGGGCAGGACTGAAGAATCAGCAGATGCTGTCTCCATGTACCCAAATCTCTATTGAGCCAGATTTTGTGGTTTACTAGGACAGCTTATTAATGCTGTTCCCAAGTAGAAGCAACAAAGAATGGCTGTAACACACTGGCGGCGCATGTGATCTGCATGTGTAATGTCCCAAGTTCAGTCCCTGCCATTTTGGGGAAAGGGAGCTTGGGCAGAGATTGCAGAGGTGGGTGAAGGATTTCCACTGGCAGGAGAGTACAGAGCAAACTCCAGGAATTTTTCACCTGTGCAGCATTCACCTGTGCAGAATTTTTCACCTGCTGCTGCGGCAGCCTTGGAGACCATGTGGCAGCAACATTGAGGCTGGCCAGCACTTGGCAATATACAGCTAATCTTTAGGTAAAATATTTAAGAGGAAAACACCTGTGTGGGTGAGGGAGCAAGAAGAAAAGCAGGCTGTTTTAGTATACTTACACATAGCAAGCATTTTTCAGCACAGCAATCTAAACTCATGCACACCACTACCTATTTTTCTTTGTACTGGGTTAGTTTAAAATCTGCATGGTAGCCCTCTATCAGTAAGATATACTCATGTCTTAGTAAGAACCCCAACTATCATCATCTAGGAAATTAGGATGCAGAACTTCAGGGTTGGGGTCCCAATCCAGCCTGGGCCTACCCCCCCCCCAACCCCAATTCCCTTCAACCATTCACATTTATGCAGTTTTTGCCCATTCTAAAAAGCTGAAATGCCTCTCCTAAGGCTCAATTAGTGACAGGAAGAGCTTTAACTTGAGATAAGCTTGTGGTTTTTGTTCCACTCCCCTGTGGAATGAGGTCCCAGAGAGTGTCTCCAAACTAGAATTTGACCCCGAGGCTAAAAGAGATTCAGCACCACCTTATGGCATGCTGCTGCAGAACTACTGTGCCAAGTTTTCTAGTACAATAAAGTGTTACCAGATACTGCACAACTAAAACATTTTAATGGGTGGGGAGAAGTGAACTGGAATGTTTGATGCAAAAAATGGCCATGAGCGAAGTGTTTCAAAGGGCAAGAACTAGCCCAGGAGCTGTGTTGGGAAGACCCTGCAGGAAGAAAGTCAGTCCTTGGGAAAAGGCTACAAGCTTACATTGGAAATTAGCATTTTGGAGAGGCTTGCTCATTCATGAAATGCTTGCCAAGCTAAGCATGCAGCTCATTTCTTAGACAGTAAGTGACTTAAGTACTGAGCACAAAGTAGAGCTCAAAAATACAAACCATCCCGTCAACCCCCAAAAAAGATGGTGCCAAAGGGCAGTCCCTCATTTTACAGCATATTGTTTTCTTTTTTAATTTAAAAATATTAAGACTATGTTAAGACTTGAAATGAGGGCACCAAGGGAGGTGTGTCTGGCTATACTGGTGACTACAGGTACCATGCTGGTGACCCTAGCTTTGGCTCCTAATCATCACAACAATAGGGGAAGTAAAGGCCCCCTAAATGGGTGAGGTCAAGCTAGACAAGATGCCTTGCATATTAATAATCATCTAAAGTCTAGACGTTTATATATAAAAAGAGGCTACAAATCTGTCCCAGCATTTCTTTGTTTTTTTCTTTTTCCTTTCCTTTTTTTTGGGGGGGGGGGAGGAGAGCCAACCGAGATCAAAGCCACCTCAAATATCTGAATTCCTCACACTATCACCACCACCCATAAAAGGGAAGGGGGGCACAAAGAGGAAAGGAAAATGGGGGATAAGTTAAATCACATCCATCCATAAAAGAAATTTATATCACACTTACTGTGTGATATAAATTTTTTTTAACTTTACTTTTAAAAAAAAAAGTGGAAAAAAGGGCTGAACACTTCCATTTCTCGTGTGTGTGTGTGTGTGTGCGCATGCGCACGCACAGTCCATATATCTAAACACACACCGTTATAAAATCAATTGCTATTTGAGGTATGTTCAAAGGTAACAAGAGCAGCAAGATATTCAGTCCACTGAATGATAGGTTGTAGCTATTTATCTTTCAAAGTCTGAAGTATCTAATCTGTAAGAACCCTCAGTATCCACTTTTGCTGTGCCTCTCTCAACAGGGATATAATTTAAAAGTGCATGGACATCCGCTATTACCAGAGGTTTTTTTAAGAACAGAATTTATACGATCAATGACTTCCAACCAAAGATAACCCACTAGAAGGCTTAAGCTCTTTAAACAGTCTCACAAGAGGTGAACATAAGAAAACTCAACACTTTTTCAATACACTTTATCTTCAGGAAGACTGTTCTCATCCAGCAGATCACTGTTCCTCAGCCTTTAAAGACCCATCATATGATTACTTACACAGTAATTAAATCCAACTGAACTCAATGGGAGTTACTTTCAAGTAACCATAGAAGGGATCAAGCTTCATGCATTTTACAGCTCCTGAACCTGGATGCCCATGTTAACACATCACCACACTGTTCACATATCATCAGAATAGCTAATGATTAAGATATACTTAATTAGCAAGGTACTATTTAAGCCTCAGGAGTTGGATGTATCAGAGTTCTTGCTGTGGATATTAATGCAAATATATTCAGGAAATGTGTCAGGATTAAACACCTCTCTGTTAATGGCAGTGTTTTAAGTTGATGGTTTAACTACCTACATAATAATGATTAAGATAGTAATGGCATATTGACCTTAAATTACTCAAGATATTGTGTCTGACTTAAAGCTCAAGACCAATGCTGGTTGGTTAAAGAGCCAAAATAAAAGATAATTAAGGAAACATAAGTAAATCTGCCATCATGCATGCCTTCTTTGGACATTAAACTGGAAGCCTGGAAAATTAGAGATGCAATTAAAACTTTATTGAAGCTAATACAAAATTTAAGGCAGTGCTGGTAGGAATATGGCAACCTGGCTGAAATTGATATTCATTAGGATACTCCTTATATGAATAGGAACCATTTGGACTTAGTAGTCTTTACAAGAGCCCCAGCTGGTAATGGTTGAAGGTTAATGCCTTACCCCATTCTGTTCAATTTTCTGTCCTAATTAGTCATCTAAATCTATAGCTGTGAGCACCAAGTGTCTCTGCTCAAAAGAAACTAATTAATGCTAGCAAATTAGATCAAGTCCAAAGATCCAACAGCCAAACTCTCAAACACTCCTTGTTAATAGGAAGTGTAGCTGTCAATAACTGCTGTTGGTGGCTATAATGAGGCCTCTTCCTTTCACTGAAAGTGATTTCATTTCTCTTTGTCCTCACAAAAGCTGTTCCATTCCCTTAAAAAAAACATGCACTTGCAGTGGTGATGTTAGCTGTCTGACCCATTTCTTGGGATCAGCTGGGCTGAAATGACACAGGGAAAAAAACCCCTAGTAGGTTAAGTCTCCCTAACCCCACATTATGCTTCAAACAAGTTTTCTTAAAAGCCCTAATGCTGACTGGTGAATATCAAGGTTTTCTTCATCACTGAACACAAATATCTAAATGAACGATGGTGGCATATAACTGTTCAGTTATTAAAAAAGGTGATATCCAC